ATGAGTCAGCATTACTGTTCCCTTTGGGAGGGAGGGACCACATTCAGAGAGGCCAAGTCCGCGCCTCAGGCCACACAGCCAGCGAGAAGCCAGGTCCGAGACCTTGGCGGGCTCTGTGCTGCATTTCCCTGCTGCGCCAGTCTCCTCTGCCCCATCTCTGGGGGCTTGTACCCCCCGACTTCATTCCGGTGGTTCCGGGCCAGGGAGACTTCTCAGTGACTCCTGACGGCCCAGGGGGACCCTGATCCGGAGCCCCGGGCACCGGCCCTGGGAGGAGGCCCGGCCCAGCACATCCCCCCCCCTCCCCCCGCCCCGCCCGGCCGAGGTGGGACCCCTTGGTTCACGCTGTCACCGCCAGAGGGCGCCCAGGTTGCCCAGGTGAGGGCAAGGGGAGGTCCCCTCCCTGGCTTCCGGAAAAACAGCCCGGGCTCCCGGATCCGGACAGGCCCCCTCATGAGTGCAGGGCGCCCCGTCCCCTCCTGGCGCCTGCCTCAGCGCAGGCCTTGCTGACCCTCCCCTCCCGGGCCCGCTGCGCCCAGGGAGTCAGGTTTCCGCGGGGTGGGTGTCAGGAAGCCGGGGTCCCGTGCTGACCTCCTCCCCCGGTCCTGCTCTGCCCTCCCCCGGCTCCCCCGGCTCCCCGCACCCTGCTCCCCTGCAGCCGCAGTGCGGAGGCAGCGCCTGCACCGGGCTTCACCTCCGGCACCTTCTGCCAGCTCCTCGCAGCCCGGGTGGCAGTATGGGCCCGGCCAGGCTACCCACTGGGCCCAGAGAGGGGGAGGCAGTGCCCGGGCCACACAGCCTGCTGGGGGGCCAGGGGGAGGCCTGGGGGGCGGGGAGAAGGGAGGAATCAATGCATTCCTGTCTGGGCAGGACTGAGAGGGTGGGGGCCCTGGAGGGGACTCCCCAAGCTCCTTCCCCATGGAGTCCCCCCCCCCCCCACTTCTCCCCAGGCCTCCAGGCCAGGGAGCCACCTCCCCCCAGCTCCCCCAGCGGCTCAGCCAGGTTTTTGCTTAGATCCTGCCACCCTCCCTCCCCCACCCAGGGCTGCCGCCTGCCTGCTGCTCCCTCCCCAGGCTTAGACCCTTGGCTGTGGCCGCGGGGGCCTGGCGGGGTCCCAGGCACCACACCGCAGGGCCAGAGCGGGACAGTCCCAGTCTGTCTGGCGGGGCTGTGAGTTCGGGATTGGCTGGCGCCGCCCCCGCCTTTGGGAGGAGGGAGGCCGCGGCTGGGTGGCTCATTCAAGGTCACCCTCCTTTCTCTCCCGGCATCCCTGCGCACCTTTCGTCCCTCTGCCTCACCTTGGGGAGGGAGGAGGCCAGGTGCCTGACTGGCAGGCGACAGGGCAGCCCTGGGGAGAGGAGGGCCTTTGGGGCTCCTGCCATTTATTCTTCAGCAAATACCGAGTGCCTGCTCCTCGCCAGGCACCGAGAACCTCGGCCGCTAGCACGGTGGGCAGCCCCTGCCCACATCCAGCTCGGCGGGAGCCAGCGAGACCCAACCCATCACACACACAATGCAAACGCGTGTCCCTGCCGAGGGACAGAGGGGTTTGGGTTCTCCCCCCGCCCCCCAGGGATCCTGGGGCTCGGAGCCTCTTCCAGGCCTAGGGAGAGAGGCAGCCTCAGACATGGCGGAGGGCTTTGAGGAGGCCGGGTGGGGGCCGAGGGCCCTCGGAGTCCTCGATCGGAGAACGCAGGAGAAATGTGCGGGGTCACGGGGTGGCTGCAGGGCTGCAGGGCGGCCGCATCCTGGCCCGCAGCCCTCAGAGGCGGCCGGGCCCCCGCCCCTCCCGGGAAGGGCGAGGGGGCGCTCAGTGAGGATGGCGGGAGAGTGGGGAGCAGGTCTCACAGCCCAGAGATGGCCTCGGGGAGGTGAGGGACCCCAGTTCTCGGTCCCGGTCCCCGTTTTGGAGCCCCGCTGGCTCCTCTGCCGCCTGACGCTGAAGGGGAGGGTCTGGCTCCCCCGGCGGCCTCCCCTCTCCCTCCCTCACCCCTGTCCCTGGCCACGTGGCACCTCTGCGCCCGCGCCCGGGGGAGTCTGGTTCCTGACCTCAGCGCTGGGGGCCGGGAACGTGTGTGGGGTTTGGTCCCTCAGAGCAGCCTCCTCCCTCCAGCCCCGCAGCCCCAGGGCGGCAGGGAGGGGGTGCTGTCTCTTTAAGAGCCTTCAGGCTGCTGGGAGCAGATGGCCAGGCCGACCGGGGCCCCTTGTCCTTTGTGTGGCTTTGCACAAAAGAGGGGGCCAGCTGGGGAGGGGGCAGCTGCAGCAGGTGGGAGGGTGGGGCCTCGCCCCTCCCCCTCCTAGCTCTGCCGCCATTGCCCTTGGGGAGCGTCCCTCCCCAGGATGCCCCTCCTCTCTGGATGCTGTGGCCCCTGCCGTCCCCCCCAAATTCCTGGGAAAACCCTTCCCTTGTGGGGTCCCACTCGGTAGGCAAAAGCCTTATCCCCCAGGGCCCAGAACACCCCTCCCCCACAGAGCAGACCTCCCGCCCTGCCCCCACCTCCACGGCAGAATCCTCGCCCTGAGCTCTCGGGAGCCCGGAGAACAGAATTCTGTGTGCGAGCTGGGGGTGCTGGGGAGGGAATTCTGTGTGCGAGCTGGGGGTGCTGGGGAGGGAATTCTGTGTGCGAGCTGGGGGTGCTGGGGAGGGAATTCTGTGTGCGAGCTGGGGGAGCTGGGGAGGGAATTCTGTGTGCGAGCTGGGGGTGCTGGGGAGGGAATTCTGTGTGCGAGCTGGGGGTGCTGGGGAGGGAATTCTGTGTGCGAGCTGGGGGTGCTGGGGAGGGAAGGGTGCCAGGGGCTGGGGGGACTGGGGCAGCCCGGGGGGAGGGGAAAGTGTGCCTAATGCTGAGGCCTGGGGCCAGAGGCCGGGCCTAGGACGCTAGGTGAGGGCAGAAAGAGGAGGCGAGGCAAGGGGGATGGGGAACCCAACTGAGGCCCGGCCTAATGGGGTTCCGGTGTGGGCAAGATGGAAGACTCCATCACAGGGGAGGGCTGTGTGCAGCCATGGCTGCCTGCCAGGCAGGAGGGGACGGAGGCGACAGCCTTCTGAGGCCTGGAGGTGCTGGGGGCGGGTGAGCCCTGCCACTCAGGGAGGGTCAGGGGGAGGCTCTTTTCATCCGGGCAGACCCCCGAGCCCAGACCCTCAGCCCAGACCCTCAGCCCAGATCCCAGACCTCCGAGCCCAGACCCCCCCGGCCCAAACCCCCCCGGCCCAGATCCTCAGCCCAGACCCCTCAGCCCAGACCCCCGGCCCAGACCCCCAGCCCAGACCCTCAGCCCAGACCCCTCAGCCCAGACCCTCAGCTCAGATCCTCAGCCCAGACCCCCCGGCCCAGAACCTCAGCCCAGACCCTCAGCTCAGACCCCCGGCCCAGACCCCCCCGGCCCAGACCCTCAGCCCAGATCCCAGACCTCCGAGCCCAGACCCCCCCGGCCCAAACCCCCCCGGCCCAGATCCTCAGCCCAGACCCTCAGCCCAGACCCCCCGGCCCAGACCCCCAGCCCAGACCCTCAGCCCAGACCCTCAGCCCAGACCCCTCAGCCCAGACCACCCAGCCCAGACCCCTCAGCCCAGACCCTCAGCTTGGCTCTGCCCTGGCCCATCCATCCCCCTCCTTTGTCCAGACCGGGGTTGGTGCCCAGGCCATGATTCAGGAGGAGGAAGGAAAAAGGCCCCGGAGCTCCTGCTGGAGATGTGGCGGGCAACGTGGCCGCGGGCTGGGTGGCCCCGTGTGGCCCGACGGTGCCACAGGCGGGTGGCGCCCCGGCCGGCTTTGCCCAGCCGCCCGCAGGAGCCCCCGGACTGGGAGGCCCCAGCCAGGCCCTGCCCCGCCCGCAGGACCCCGGGGCCGGCCTCGGCGGGTGGGGGCGGGGGCCGGGCCGGGGCTGCAGCTAAATTTAGGAACCTGATTACAGAGCGGCCGGAGCGCAGGAGCGGAGGTGCCAGTGCGGCCCGGCCTGGGCACCGCGGGGTGTGCCCGGCGGGGGTGCCTAAGAGCGGGGGGGGGGGGGACCGGGAGGGAGGGGCGGGGCCCGGGGCCGCACGGGCCGGGCTGCGGGACGGACCGCACGGCTCTCGGACCCCGAGCCGCGCCGGTGCGCGCTGCTCTTTGTGTGCCTGGCAGGGTGGCGGGTCTGGCTGAGACTCTGCCCTCCCCCCCTCCGTCTGCGCCGTCTGCCCGCTCCCGGCCTGTCACTCTGCCCGAGCCTGCCCGGGGGAGGGGGCCGCTCCCCGCGGGGACAGGCACCCCTGGGGTGGGGGGACCCAGCCCTCTCCCGGCACCGCTCCCTCCCCGCCCGCAGCCCCTAGGCCGTGCTGGGGTGAACCCTGCGGCACTGAGAGGGAACGGGGTGACCCCGGGGACCCACAGATGCACCAGGAGCTGGGTTTGGCCGAGGAGCTCTGGGAGGAATTCATTCCTGGCCTGTCCGGCCTCCCATCCGCTCTGGCCCCCAAGGGCGCCCAAAGAGGGGGGTCCCCCTGCGGAAGGGGGGGCGGGAGTTCCTTGGCAGGAAGGGAAATGGAGGAAAAGCTGGGCTCCACCCGGGCGGGCCGGCGGCCCAGGGCCCCGGGGCGGGCGGCAGTGAGCCGAGGCCCCTGCGGGTGGGGGTGACCCCCGGCTACTGCGGGGGGGGACGGCGAGGTCCCCCCGGGGGCAGGCCTGGAGCCCGGGGGCCGCGGAGGGACGGCCGCCGCTCCGGCCTGACCCCGCCCCCGGAGGTCTGGCCCGCCGGCCCCGCCCCGCCCGGCCCCCGCCCCCGCCCCCCGCCCGGGGCCAGATGTTCAGCTGGCGGAGGCATCGCGGGGGGAGGGGTGCTGAGGCCGCAGCCGGCACTACTTCCCTGCCAGCGCTCATTGTGTGCGCGAGCCGACCGGCGGCGGGCGGCAGCCGAGCGAGGAGCGAGCGCCGGGAGCGGAGCGGGGGGCGCGCCGGGAGCGTGCAGGCGGCCCCGCGGCTCCGCTCCGCCCGCTCCGCCCGCGCCCCCGCCGCGCGCCCCGCCGCCCCCGAGCCCCGCCGGCCGCGGGCAGGGGTCCGGTCGGGACAGGACGCCCGCCGGGCACCGGGGCATCCCGGCGAAGCCGAGGGACGCGGAGCCCGCGGGGGCGCCGGTGGCTGTGCCGTGCCCGCGCGCGGACTGCGCGGGTAGGAGGGCGGCGGGGCTCGGGGCGCCCCGAGGGCAGGGCGCCCTCCCTCCCCCCGGGGGAGCCCCCGGCCCCGGAGCGCACCGGGCGAGCGCGCCCCGCCGCCGCCCCGGGCCCCGCGCTCGCCCCCCCGCGTACCCGGCTTCCGCACAAACTTTTCCGACGCCCTGGCCCGCGGGGGTCGCGGGGAGCGCGGGGCTGCCCGCTGAACCCCCGCCTCGCCGGACCCCGGCCACGCCGACCTCCCGCCTCTCGCGGCCTCAGTGGCGACCTCTCCAGGCCGGGCCGCGCGCGGCACCCGAGGCGAGCGCCGCAGCCCCCGGCCGCTCTCCCGAGGCTCCCGCGCCCCCCGGGGCCGCCGGGCGGGGGGATGCCCTCGGTGATGGAGAAGCCGAGCGCGGGCTCCGGGATCCTGTCCCGCAGCCGGGCCAAGACGGCGCCCAACGGCGGGCAGCCGCACTCGGAGGATGACAGCAGCGAGGAGGAGCACTCGCACGGTGAGCCCGCGGCCAGGGTTAGGGCCCCCCCCACCCCCGCGGGTGGGAGTGGGAGCGGGGCGGGGAGGGGAGAGTGGCGGACCCCTGGCTGTTACCCTCAGGGTCCTGCCCTCCGCGGGTCGGAGCCTGTGCCTCGGTCTCCCCAAAGCCTGGGGCCGCCGGCACGGAACCTGGAGGCTGGGCCCCTGGCTGCCCGCCCGCGCCCTGAGGGGCTAGGGCGTCCCTCCCCCTCCCGCCACAGAGGGCCCCCCCCCCCCCCCCCCCCCGCATACCTTGCCACCTTGCGGGGGGCCGGGGCCTGGCTGGCCAGGGTCTGGGAAGACGGCACACCGAGCTGGGAAGCTCATGTGGTGGGGAGGAGCCTCGGGTTCCTGCAGGGCTGTGGTCCAGGTCTAGGGGCAGCCCTCCAACCGCCCCCCACCCCCCGCCAGAACAAAGGGCCCTGCCCGGTCTGGGCTCTCAGACTGGCCCCTTGTCCGCTGCCCCACCCCCACCCGAGTCCCCTGGGCCCCCCATGCCCCACAGGCCGCGACCAGGCAGGGTCTCCCCTATTCCAGTTCCTTGTATGGCTGAGGGTAGCAGGGGAAAGAGCCTCCTGGAAGGTGGGGGCCTGGGTGCTCAGGAAGAACTCCAGGCCAGCTCCCCCGCCACATCCTCCCATCCTCCCTCCTCCCTCCCTGGAGCCCTGACTGCCTCCTCCTGGCTCCACAGACAGCATGATCCGCGTTGGAACCAATTACCAGGCCGTAATCCCCGAGTGCAAGCCTGGTGAGTGGCAGGACAGGCTGCACCGGGAGGGGCGCCCAGGGCCCGGGGCTTGGCCCCGAGCCCCACCTAGGGGGAGCCCTTGGCTGGCGCCCACTGGAAGGACAGCCAGGCGGGCAGGCGGGGGTGGGTGGCCCCATGGCACGGCGGGTTTTCCTGCCCCTCCTCCTCTCTGGGCCTCACCTCGCAGGCCCGCTGCCCTGCCGCCCTGGGCCATGCGACCGGCCCGCGCCAGGCGGCTGCTGAGGGCTCCCCCTCCGCTGCCTTGCAGAGAGCCCCGCGCGCTACAGCAACAAGGAGCTGAAGGGGATGCTCGTGTGGTCGCCCAACCACTGCGTGTCGGATGCCAAGCGTGAGTGGGTTGGAGCCTGGCTCCATGCACATCCCTGGGCACTGGGGGCGGCCGCTCATGCCCGTCTGCCCCAGAAGTGTGGGTGCAACCCCTGCCCTGGGGCTCAGGCTTGGAGGCTACCCCTGTGTCGGGGGGGGGGGGGGGGGCGGGGAGGGGCAGGGTTAGGACCTGTGATCCCTCCTCCAATATCTGCCCCCCCCCCCCGCAGTTGACAAGTACATCGCGATGGCCAAGGAGAAGCACGGCTACAACATCGAGCAGGTGAGCCGGGGCCCGGGGTCTGGGTGGGGCCTGGGCCGGGCCGGGCGGCTCCGGCTGAGCCGCGCCCTCTCCCGGGCCAGGCGCTGGGCATGCTCCTGTGGCACAAGCACGACGTGGAGAAGTCGCTGGCCGACCTGGCCAACTTCACCCCGTTCCCGGACGAGTGGACTGTGGAGGACAAGGTGCTGTTCGAACAGGCCTTCGGCTTCCACGGCAAGTGCTTCCAGCGGATCCAGCAGATGGTAAAGCCCTCCCTGCGCCCGCCCCTCCTCCACCCTCCCTCCTGCCGCCCCCGCCCGGGGCCGGCGCGGTGGCCCCAGCCTCTGGCCTTGCCCCTCCAGCTGCCCGACAAGCTGATCCCCAGCCTGGTGAAGTATTACTACTCCTGGAAGAAGACGCGGAGCCGCACCAGCGTGATGGACAGACAGGCTCGGCGGCTGGGGGGCCGCAAGGACAAAGAGGAGAGGTGGGGGCCCCGGGGGGAGCCAGGGTGTGGGAGGGGCCGCGCGGAGCCCCCACCTCACTCACTCTTCCTCTCCCCCGTGTCAGCAGTGATGAGCTCGAAGAGGGACGAGGGGCTGTGAGTGAGGGAGAGCCGGATGCCGGGGATCCCAAGAGAGAGGTGAGGTCTGAGAGCCGCCGGGCCCGCCCGCCTGCCCTCTCTGGGCTCTGCCACCGCCGCCTCTCCTTTCTCTGGCAGCCCCTGCCCTCTCGGCCCCTGAATGCCCGTCCAGGCCCCGGGAAGAAGGAGGCCCAGGCGTCTCAGTATCGGCACCACCCGCTAAGGACGCGCCGGCGCCCCCCCAAGGGCATGTACCTGAGCCCCGAGGGCCTCACCGCCGTGTCCGGAAGCCCAGACCTTGCCAACCTCACGCTCCGAGGCCTTGATTCCCAGCTCATCTCCCTCAAGCGTCAGGTGGGGGCGTGCAGAGGGAGGAGTCTGCAGCGGGGAACTGTGACTGGGCAGCTGAGGGGTGAGGGAGCCGGTGCGGGCGCCAAGCCTGCTGCTGCCCCTGCCTTGCCTGCTGGCCTGTGGACAGGAGCGGGCACAGCTGCGTGGCTGCAGGGTGGACTGAGAGAGGGGGTGGGTGGCAGAGCTTTGTGGGAAGTGGCACTGGTGTGTGCAGAACCGGAGCCCTGGGGCGACTGGTGTGGACCGGCTCCCGGACGGAGAGCTTGACATCCCTCCGTTGCCCGGGCTCCCAGGTGCAAAGCATGAAGCAGACCAACAGCAGCCTCCGCCAAGCCCTGGAGGGCGGCATTGACCCGCTCCGCCCCCCCGAGGTGAGGCTGCTCTGGAGTTGGGGTGCAGGAAGGGGTCCCCTGGAGGCGGAGCCTCGGTCTTTGTGTTTTTGAGCGTCAGGGATCTGTTCCTTGCTCTTCAGGTCAACACCAAGTTCAACTCCCGCTGGACCACGGATGAGCAGCTACTGGCTGTGCAAGGTGGGTGCGAGGTGGAGAACAGAGGGCCCGGCATGCCTTCCCCGCCCTCCGAGGAGCCGGGCGGGGGGAGGGTCCGGAAGGAACTAGCTCTCAGTGCACTCTCTGTGCCCCTCGGCCGGCCCGCAGCCATCCGCAGGTACGGCAAAGACTTCGGGGCTATTGCCGAGGTGATTGGGAACAAGACCCTGACGCAGGTGAAGACCTTTTTTGTGAGCTACCGGCGCCGCTTCAATCTGGAGGAGGTGCTGCAGGAATGGGAGGCTGAGCAGGATGGGGCCCCCGCAGCCCCGGTCCCCATGGAGGAGGCTAGGAGAGGGGCTCCCTTGCCAGCCCCGGCCCTAGAGGAAGATGATGAGGTGAGAAGGGGAGGGACCCTACAGAGAAGAGAGGAGCGGAACCACCCACGTCCCTGGCTTGGGCTGAGGGTGTGGCGGAGCCTGGTCTCACTCTCCTCTTCCCTTTCAGGTCCAGATCACGTCTGTCTCAACCTCTGCGCCCCGACCCGTGCCCCCTGCGCCACCCCCCCCTCCGCCCCCCGCCTCCCTGTCCCAGCCGCCCCCCCTGCTGAGGCCGCCTTTGCCCACGGCTCCCACCCTGCTCCGCCAGCCGCCCCCCCTGCAGCAGGGCCGCTTCCTCCAGCCCCGGCTGGCCCCCAACCAGCCCCCCCCACCTCTTATCCGCCCGGCGGCTGCTGCCTCCCGCCACAGTGCCCGCCCTGGCCCGCAGCCCCCGCCCACCCTGATCGGAGCCCCCCTGGAGCCTCCAGCCCCGTCGCTCTGAGCCCTGAGGCTCCAGAACACCTTCGCCGGATGCGCGGGCACCCTGGCTTCACTGGCAGAGGGACTAGAGCTCTTGCAAGGTCTTTCAAAGACCCACAGCTGCTGGCCTGGCCCCCTCTGGCAGCTGAGCCACCTCCCACCAGCCCGGCTGGGGCTGGGCCCGGGGCCTCTGAGCCGCCTGCAGTGGCTGCCTCCTGCCTGGGGAGTGGCCTTTGGACCCCGCCCTCCGTGTAGGGTGTAGAGGGGTCCTGATCGTAGCTTGGGGGGTGGGGGGAGGACATTTGGCCTGCTGGCAGTTCTTCCTCTCTCCCTTCTTTTAGCAATAAGTCGGGGTGAGGTAGGGAGGGGCTGGAGGGGGGCGGGGGCAGAGGTCCTCGGCCTGGACAGCAGCTGAGACTTAAGGGGCAGCTCTCCCCGCTTTGGCCACACGAGAGGCCTCGAGGGACGTGCTGAGCTCGCAGTGCCCACTTCACTCGCCACCCGGAAGCTTAGAGAAAGGAACAGATGCAGACATGGGTTTATTTTTCAATGTTTTTAAAGAAATAAAACCTTCCACGCTCACTGCGTCCTCTCTCCCTGTTGGTGTAAGGCCCCTGGCCCCGCTTCCTGACTGCCGTGGGGGTGGGAGGGTGTGCCCCTGGCCCAGCCAGCGGGGCTGCACTGTGCCCACAGGGACTGGGCCCCTGCCCAGTGGGAGAAGAAAGAGGAGGTAGCTCAGATTCCAAACATTCTCTTTATTACGTGTTTGATCCAGAGGAGAAACTAAGTGCAGGAGTGGGGGGCTGGGTGGGGAGGGCCGCCTTGCCTGGGAGCCCCTGGCCACCACCACCCCCTTGGGAGCCAAGCCATGCCCTCCCAGCCCCTCGGAGCACCAGGGCTGTTCCACAGGGCAGGAGGGAGGAAGGGGAGGAGGGAGCCCTTGGCCGGAGCCGAGCCCGAAGCTGGGCTTGGGGGCAGGAGGACTGAGGTTGGCAAGGCCCCTTCCTGGGACCCAAGGGCTTTAATCGCCAAGGAACGTGGCCTGGGAGTGGGGTGATGAGGGGTGGAGTCATCATAAATCAAAAAAATAAAATAATAAAATAAAAAATAAAACCCATCACAAAAAATGTACAACTCAGGTGAGGGTGGGGGCAGCCTCTCTGCTGGACCCCTTCCCCCAATTTCTCAACAACAGAAACAGCAGAGAAATAAATTAAGGGATGCAGCGGCCGCCACCAGCCACTCCCACCCTGGCCGCAGGCTGGCGAGCTGGGAGTGGCCTGGCCTGTCCCCTGCCCCGTGGAGGGCGGGGCCCGGCCCTGCTGCCCCATCTGGCCCGGCGGCGGCCTGGAGGCTCCGGGCAGTGTCTCCTGAGTGGAAGGGTGACAGTGTCAGGAAGAAAGGCAAGGCCAGAGATGAGTGGTGAGGGAAGTCACTGCTATGGAGCTAGCTGGTGCCCAGATTAATGCCAATGAACGGAGCGGTGGGAGAGGAGGAGCGGCGAGTGAGCGGGCTTCGCTTTGAGCTTTCAGACAAAAGGCTCTCCCACCGCGGAGAACGCCCAGCCCGGCGGCCCCCTGGGGCCGGGAGCCCATCTGCCCGCAGCCCCCTCCCCTCTCCCAGCCCTGGGGTCAGCCCCGCCTGCGTGCCCGGGAGGGGGTGGGACAAGATGGCACAGACTCGAGGGGGGGACAGAAGTCCCCACAGCAGCTTGTGGAAGGAAATGCCCAGCTCTGGGGGAGGGGGCAGAGGATAGTGTGGGGGGAGGCCAGAGCCCCACATCTCGCTGCCAGCCCACCCACCTCAGGGCCGCACAGCACCCCCACCCCAGCCCCTAGCCCCCAGGCTCCGGCCCAGGGGCCCGAGGTCGGGGAAGGCCACCTCTGGTGGTTTGCTTGGAGGGGAGGGGAGAGGGAGAAGCCCAAAGCGGGCCTGGCGGAGGGCCTGACCGGGAGCTCCACCACTCTTGCCTGAGAGTGTTCCAGCCCTGAGCCACCCTCCCAGGAAACCCCACAGATCCAGTCTCAGCTGTCCCGATGGGGCAGGGAGGAAAAGTGGCCGCTGGGATTTTTTTTTTCTTTTTTCTTTTTGGTAATAAAAAAGTTCTTGGTTTAGGCGAAATACTCTGTGCAACCGCAGTACCGAGGGGGAGCCCTGCCCTGCCCTCCTCCCTTCCTTGACCTCCTGTGGGAGAGGGGAAGGGCAGCATCTGGGCAGGGGTCAATGTGGGGAAAGACCACCTCCCATCCCCGCGCACATGGAGGAAAACGGAGCGGGCGGAGGGAGAAGTGCCAGCAGGGGAGACACGCCGTCCGTCTGCAGCCTCGCCCGGGGGCCGGAGCGCGGGCAGCAGCTAAGTCCAGCGCCCGCCTCCGTGGCCCCCGCTCCTGGCAGCCTGTTAAAGCTTCAGCTCGTTGGCTATTTTGGAGGCGATGTTTTTGAAGGCCATGGAGGTGCCGGATATCCGCTTAAAGCGCACCCCGTTGAGGGAGAGCCGCGGCAGTTTGCACACCTCCATCTCCCACTGCACAAAGTCCTCGTGGCCGGGCGTGCCGTGCATGCACAGCAGCATGTACTTCTCGTGCAGCTCGTTCTGGCAGCTGTTGGCGTCCAGCACCTTGCGGATCTCCCGCATCATCTCGTTGGGCTCCATGGAGCTCGTGGTCTTCATGCTCCACGTGAAGCGCAGCGAGCGCGGCTTGGCCTCCCGGGACTCCTCCTTCTCCTTGTCGCTGCCGCCACCGCCCACCACGTGAGGTCTGCGGGGAGGCAGGGCCGCGTCAGCGGGGCCGAGGCCTCCCCCACGCACCCCCCTGGCACCAGGCACCCCCCTGGCACCAGGCACCCCCCTGGCACCAGGGACCCTGAGAGCAGAGGAGAGCAGAGGGCGGCGAGAGGCGTGGGTAGTCCCGGCCTCCCCCTGGGCAGAGGTGAGGAGAAGCCAGGCAGAAGCCAGCCCGGCAGGGCAGGGGTACAGCCATGCTTCCCTTTGAGAGGGGAGGGTCACGGAGGAACGGGGTGGGGGAAGGGAAAGGGGGGGCACCGCTCAACAGCCTGAGCTCAGGGCTGGACGGGAAGCGCAAAGGCCCAGACAGGGAGCAGGGCTCCCCCTTCCCGAGCACACCTGACCGCAGGCCCCTGAGCTGGGCATGGGGTTCTGAGGAAAAGGGAAGCCTCGAGAGGGTGGCGAAGGGGTGGCAGGAGGAGAGGAGCAGGAGGCGTGGCAAGCCCGGCGGCCGGGGCAGGGCCGCGCTGGCTCCAGCCCTCTCACCTCAGAGTCTCCACTCGGTCTTTGCTTTCAGGTTCGTTCAGGTTCCTCAAAAAACAGAGCGAGGGAGAGTTTAGTGCTGGGATTCTCGCTCCTTCCACAGTGCAGACCCAGTGAGGCAGTCCAGGGAGGTGCCACCGCGGGCAGGCAGGACGGCCCAGAGGCCGCTTTCCCGTCACCTGGCAGCCAACACGGCTCTGGGCACCTCACACCGCAGCTCGACTGCCCCTTCCACCAGGGAGCCCGGCCCTCCCCACAGTCCCAGATGTGCGGGCAGGGAGGTGCGGAGGTGCAGGCACCAGCACCCAGTCAGGCAGGCAGGGCCCAGACCAGGCCAGGCTGCTGTCCGGGGTCTTCCGCACCGCTGCGCGGTCAGCATGGCAGGCCTGGGGGAGGGGCGGGGAGCTGGGGCCACGCTCTGGAGCGGCTGTGATGTGCTCCATGGAGCCTGGGGCCGGGGGAGGGGAAGGGCCCAGACTAGTCCACCTCCCCATTCTGACAACTCCCCTGCCTGCCAGGCGGCAAGCCATCCGATTACCCAGGAGAGGACAAAGGGCAGGGCAGACCTTGGGGTGGGGAGAGGTCTGGCCCCGCTGAGCGGCTTCTCCAGCTCCTGGCTGGAAGAGGGGTGCCTGGAGCTGGGAAAGGGGTTGCAGAGGAGGGCAGGGTGAGGAGAGAGAGAGCAGCAGCGGCAGCACATGTAAAAGGAACACAAAGACATCAGACACACAAATGCAGACAAGCGCACTGCACACCCGGAGCCCGGGCTGTGCGAGGGAAGGAGCTGGCTGCTCTCCGGCCCCACCTGGCTCCTGCCCTGTGGGCGGAGGCGCCTGCAGGGCTGGCCCCCATGAGTCAGCAGCCAGCCATGCAGTGAAGAGCTGGGTGGGGTTCGTAGGTGGAAGGGGAAGCCTGAAGACCCTGTCTCGGCTGTTCCTCTGTCAGCTGAGGCACCAACGTGCCGACCAGGTGTCCCAGCCCAGGGCCTTGGGAGCCTTGGTCTTCAGCTTGGTATTTGGTATTTGGCCCACCAGGCCTCCAGGGAGGATGAGGAGAGCCTGGGAGTGGGGAGTGGGGCGGGTAGCAGAGCCAGGACCTGGCCTAGGGAGGGAGATGTCTGAGTGAGGGGGATCTCCCCGCTTTGCCAGGACCCTAGGACATCCCAGCTCCTGGCTCTTAGGAAGCCACAGGCCATGGCTGTGTCAGCCCAGAAGGGAGGCGGCTTGGTTCATCCAGATACTGCTGAAGGCAGCAGGTGTGCTGGGGGGGGGGGGGGGGGGCCGCGAGCTCCGCAGGAGCTGCCAGAGGGGTGCTGTGCCCCACTCGTGTACCCCGAGTCCTTGCAGTACCTCCAAAGTCCTGCCATGCCTAGGACAGGGGCAGGAGGTCACAGAGCCCAGAGGTTTGCAGGGATAGCGAAGGGGAAGCCCGGAGACCAGAATGAGACCATCCCAGGTGCACTGTCCACCTCGGCAAGGAGACCCTCTTGGGAGCGCATGCACAGACAGGGCAAGGGCCAGAACACAAACCCATGTTCGAGACCAAAGACCAAAACCCAGGGGTGGGGGTGGGGGTAGGGGAGGAGCCAATCTTAAAGGGAGAGTTCCCTGAGAAGAGCCCCTGGCTTGGGGAGAGGCCATCATCTCCACAGCCATCTGCCCCGAGTGGGCAGATGTGGCCTCACGTGGCAGCCCAGTCCGAGCCGTCTTCATCCCTTTAAGATGGCAGAGGGCCACACAGATGTGGTTAGCAGACAGCGGGAGCAGGAGCCAGAAAGGGAGTTAGTGACACAGGACACAGGACAGACACACACACACTGGGCTCAACGCCTACCTTCTGGCAAACCTGAAAGACAGATTTCTAAAAAAACAAACAAAAAAAAGACAAAATAAAAAAAGAAATAAAAAAACAAAACAAGACGGTATGTGGATAAGCAGGTAGGGGGTGGACTTCACAGGTTCAAGGGTCACCCGTTGGTGGAAGAGCCGCTCAGCGAGACTAGAGTCCCAGGCACGGGATCTGCTCGCGCCCCTGCAGCCCTGCACCTCAACTCCAGGGCTGGCGAGGGGCGCTCGCCTACCCCAGCTGAGCGGGCTGCAGTGCAAGGGAAGGGCAGGCTGCCTGCTCTCGCCGGCCTCCTGCTGCTTCCTGAGCTGCACCGAGGTGGCAGAGGAAGGACGGGGTAGAGACAGGGACTATCCCGAAGCCAGAGTCCTGGGTGCACCTCAAGAATCAAAGCTGCCCCTTTGGGGTGTGGGAGCCAGGTGTGGGAAACTTCATGAAGAGACTCCCCACCCTGGTTCCCACACAAGAAAGTCAGCGCAGCAGGCTGCGAGGGAGGAGGCCGCCTGGGCCCGCACCAGCTGCTGCCCTTATGGCCTTCACCCTGCAGCCCTGAGCCGGAGAGCATGGCTGCAGCAGAGGGAGTGGCTGCAGCGAGACCCAACCAACCCACTGGGCTCGGGGAAAGGAGGTCAGAGGGGGCAAGACGGGAGACCAGGAAAAACTCCTTGCTGGCCCAGCCTGGCTCAGGTCTCATGACTTTGCAGCTGCGTCACCAAATATAAGTTTCCATGGGAACCCAGGAGAAGAGGGGGCTTTTATTTTAGCATCTGAGTTCACACTCTCCTAGAGAGGAGGCGGCATCAGCATGGGCCATCTGCTCAGGCCAGAGAATGAGGTGCATGTATAAGGAGTTGGGGAGACCTGAGAGGGACTAGGAGGGTTTGGGCACCTGAGTTGTGGACAAAGACCCAATTTTGTAGGCTTCCAGAAGCCTCTCTTAACCCCAGACCCAAAGCCCAGAGCCAGGTCCCCCATTCCACCCGCAGGCAGGCAGGAAGGCCTGGCCTCACACTCTGCCACCTCAAGGCCCCTACTCACCTTCGTACAAACTTGGAGGTGAATTTGCTGAAAATGCTCCCCGAAGCCCCCCGCCGTCCTTGGCTGTTGCCAGAGGGAGAGGCTGGCGTTACACCGTAGGGCAGATTCTGCTGGTCCCGCACTTGCCGGAGCTGCCCAGCGTGGAAGGTGCTCCTGCTGGACACTCCCCGGGGGAAGTTAGTTCGGTCGGGGGCTCCTCCGCTGCTGCTGATGTTGTGGGCGGAGGGGGAGGTGACGGGGACACGCTGAGGGGCTGTGCTGTGGGAGAGAGGTGGGGAGGGGAAATGCATCAGGGCCCGGGAGGCCATCCCGCCAAGCACCTGGAGCCCTGGTGGGAGCAGGGAAGGATGATGCGAGGGCAGAGGCAGCCATCACAGAGGACACAGGAGGAGGGGTGTGACCACTGAGGACACTGGTGAGGAAGACAGCTAGGTGAGGTGGGAAATGGTTTGGGGAGGGAGGGAGGCGAGGAGGGATACGTGTGTGGAGAGCGGTTCAGCTGGAGATGTGGCTCCCTGGGAGCTGGGCAGACTGGAACCTCGAGGGGACAATGTTGACCAACCCTCACGGGTGAGTCCCTGTGATGCTGACTGTCCAGGAAGGCTCAGAACCAAAAGGCTTCCTTCTGGAGCCTCGGGGCGGCTTCGGACTATCTGCTCTGAGGGGAGGCTGGAGGAAAAGAGGGGGCATTAAGCCATTTTTTGTTCCTTCCACTCCCTGGCTGCAGGGGACAAAGCCATTTCTTGTGGCCGAGATGACAAGAACAGAGCAGGAGCAGGTGGGAAGAAGTTGTTGGGGGCGGGGGTGGGACAGGTTAGGGCAGCAGGTCACCAGCTGCCCCAGCACACTTGCCTGGGCCGCGGCACCTCACAGTTACTGTCCGTGGGGGGCAGCCCAGTGGCCTTGTTGGGGTGCACGGAGGCCGACATGGATTTCTGGTGCTGGCGGGGTCGGGCCGCGGACACTGCGGCAGAAGCAGAAGCCGTGGAGGCCCGGGACCCTGGCATGGTTAGGCTAGGAGACAAAAGCAGCGGAAAGGCCTGGGTTAGGGGTGGGCGGGCAGGAGGCTGGGTTAGGAGCAAGGGCAGCGGGAGGGGCCGGAGCTGGGAGCTCGGCAGGATGCGGTCAGCCCGGGGAGCAGCAGCGGACACCGGTCGGCGCTGAGGAAGGCAGAGCTGGCAGAGAGGGCCGGGTGAGGGAGGCCCGGTGGCCCGGGGCTGGGAGGAACCAGAAGTGCAGGAAAGCCAACAGGAGGCAGCTGCCTCCAGCCACACCGGTCTCCTAGGAATTCTAAGAACAAGGACGTTTCCTCTCCAGAAGGAGCAGGGCGTTGCTAAGGGGAGTTGCAATAGGCTCAGAAGAGGCGGAGTCAGGAACGCACAAGAGATGCTGATGGTCCAGGGGCGGGGAACTCTGCTCTCGGGGCACAGCTGGGTCACTGTGTGTGCAGACCCCGCAGTGGGCCTCAGTTCTGCCCTGCCTGCACCTGAGGCCCAGAACAGGCCTCAGCACTGATGCCTAGAGCAGCGGGTTGCCATGGCCTGACTGGCAGCCGAGATGACCAGGGAGTCACACGTGGTACACTGCAAGGAGCGGTGGCAGGGGCACAGGGAAAGGGGGAGGGGAGGGAGGAGGTCTGGTGTGCGGAAAGCTGGACCAGACAGAGCGGACGAACTCCAGGGAGCAGGGAGGGGAGTGTGCTGCCCACAGTCACTGCTGGCCCAGGCCTCTCACCTGTCCTTGCCGTTCTGGATGGAGGCCTGGCCGAGGCTGGCCCGCTCCAAAAGCGGGGAATTCCTGCTTCGGTTTGTGCTGGTGGAGAGGATGCTATTCTGTGGGGGAGAACGAGGCTGTGTTAGAGAGCCAGTGTCTTACTGGCAGGGTCACAGCATCCCTTCCCCCTCCTCCCCAAGAGCAGGCCTGGGCTGGGAAACCAGCTTCTTTCCTGTGGGGCTAGGCTTTCTAAGAAGCAAACTGAGAGCTGCCGGAGAGGACAGGCCGAGGGGGTGGGAGGGGAGAGGAGGAGGAGGAGACGGGAGGACCAGCAGCGTGGCTCACCGTGGAGGGGGTGGGGGTGGTCTTCTTCCTCTCGAGGCCGGGCAGGGGGCTGGCAGGCACTTTGGCTGTGCTGCTGGCCTTCCGCCCGGACTCCCGGTCCTCCTCAGGCCGCTTGTTTTCCGCGTTGTTACTCTGAGTCTTCTTAGAGTAGGAGTTTGAGGTGGGAATGGCAGGACCAGCTGCTGGACCAGAGTGACAGTGGGAACGGGTAAGGACAGGGCCCAGAGAGTGCCCACCCGACGCCTGCTCTCCTACAGTCTTGCCGGCAATCAGCAACACCACCTCCCAGAGGCTGAGGGAAGGGACCTGCCCAGGTCATGCTACTAATAAGTGGCTGAATGGGGAGTAAAACTCAGCTATGTCAGCTGAAGTCCGGGAACTTGTGACCTCTCAGCAGAGGGGCGAGTCCCCACCTGCACTCCCCAAAGCGCTCACCCTGGTCGCTGAAGCGCCGCTGCTTGGGGTTGGCCGAGACGCTCCGCTGTACCTTGTGGGAGGGGGAAGGAGCACTGCTGTTGGTCATATCCGCTGAAGGCCTGGGCTTCAAGGTGATGGCATCACCTTCCTGCTGCAAGAACAGAAAGGGGGAGAAGTTGGGCGGAGATCCACAATCCCCCTGGCGCTCCTATGACCAAGCCTGCAAGACCAATGTGCAACCGAACGCTGTGGAAACAGGTGCCGACACAGACCCCAACAGCACACCACCACCTCCACAAAGACCCCACCTCAGAGGGGGGTACACACGCCCACAGGAACACAGAGCCAGGCACAGAGACCTCGTATACTCCTGGGCAGGCTAAGGGGAGAACCAAGAGAGGGAGCCCAGCACCACCGGGGAGCAGGGTGGAGAGGCCATGAGTGCTCGTGGGGACACAGATGGAGACCAAGACTCCCATCCCAGACCCCACGGACTCCGACATAAGACATGACGACCCAGATGCACAGCCGAGAGGATGGACATACATGCCCACAGCTCCACATATCCAGACACAAGCACCAGGCAGAAGAGCACAGACTCGAGACTTTCTCAGAAAAACACAGGGACCCTTGCATGCAGAGCCCAGAGATGCAATTCCAAAAACCAACACATGGAAACAAAATTTCTAGGTGGACACAGAACTGACCCAGGCAGAGGGACTGAGACCCAGTCTAGCCAGGACAGAGCCCGATCTGCTCACCCATGTGGAAGCCCAGACCCAGGCCCAGACCACCAGCTACCCATCATTCACTGATGTCCGGAGATCAGGGAGAGAAAGACCAGAGGGCTCTGGCCACCAAAGCTGAGGCTTGAAACTCATCAGCAGAGGCAGCACGCCCACTCAGACACCAGCTCCTGCCCTCAGCGGGGTCCGGAAGCATGGGGTGCCACGGCCAGCAAGGGACCAGGGAGGGGCAGGGCACACACCTCCGAGCTCTTGTGGCCGAGGAGCAGGTAGGTGGCCATCACCTCGTTGTACCGCTGGCCCACCAGCGAGTCCTGGATCTCCTCTCGGGTGTAACCCATGGACACCATCAGCTCTGCGCAGGGGAGATACAGTTAAGGCTGGTCCCGAGGCCCCGGCAGCTCCACCTCAGGCCCGGCCTCGCCTCACCTGTCCGCCGGGGGTCCTTGTAGTCAGGGAGCGGCTCCACGTAAGGCTTTAATTCGTCATCTTCGTGACCCACATTCATCCACCGATCTTTCATGATTTGCTGGGGAATAAATGAAGAGGAAGGAGCCTCAGCGTGAAGGTTTCCTCGGGAACCCGGGACCTTCCGGCCCGCGGGGCCCTCGGCTGCTCACCTCTAAAGTGCCTCTCTTGCTGGGATTGAGAATGAGGAATTTCTTAAGCAGGTTTTCACAGTCTGTGGACATGTAGAACGGAATACGGTATTTCCCCCTCAGTACCCGCTCCCGCAGTTCCTGCAGGAGGGAAACGGCAATCACCCCAAAGCCGAGGGAAGAAACCTAACATCGGGGCTCCCGAGAGCTTAGGCCTGGCCAGGCAGACAGAAATGAAATGCAGTGGGAGGCAGAGAGCAGGGACAGGACCCTCCCCTGACCAGCCCGTGGCTGCATCCTGAGTGCCCCGAGGGCCTGAACGGACACACAACTGGCCCATCTCTGGAGAAGTGAGTGACTGCGCTGGCTGAGGAAGACAGCTGCTGCCTTCGGCAAGCCCCTCTCTGACGCGCTGGTGGGACGTGTGGAGGAGGCCCAGGGGAGAGGTTGGGAAGACTGGAGGCTGAGAGCGGGATGAGGGTAACAGCAGTGATCTCAGCCTGCGGTCCACTCCACCTTGAGGTTCTGTCCATCGAACGGCAGGGACCCGCTGACCAGCGTGTACAGGATGACGCCCAGGCTCCACACGTCCACCTCGGGCCCGTCGTACTTCTTGCCCTGGAAGAGCTCTGGGGCCGCGTACGGGGGGCTCCCGCAGAACGTGTCCAGCTTGTTCCCAAAGGTGAACTCGTTGCTGAACCCAAAGTCTGCGATCTTGATGTTCATGTCGGCATCCAGGAGCAGGTTTTCTGCCTGGAGGAAGATGCAAACGTCAGGGACCCACGTGGACCCACGAAGGCGCCGGGTAGGCGGAGCGGAGGGGACGGGGAAGCCAACAGGACGCCCTCCCGGGCTCAGGACCTCGTCCACCAGCCCCGGGCAGGCCTTCCTCAGCGCTAACAGCTGGGCTGGGGGAGGGCAGCGCAGGCCACTCCTCAGCGGCAGCCCCGGGGAGCTGGGATCTGAGGGCTCAGACGCTCCGAGCTGCCAACGCCTCCAGCAGGCCCAGGTTAACCCGGGTCTCATCGCCTTGCGTTCGCACCTCTCCGTGCCCGTGCACTCTGCACAGAGCTGTGCGGCGGATGCCAACGCAGTCAGCATCTCCCCTGTCAGCCTGGGCTGTCTGACGGCCCAGCAGGGTCTGGAGCGGCCCTGCCTGGCACTGGAGGGTGGTGGCCCAGAGCCTCTGCCCGCGGCTGGGACGGGAGCCTGAGGCCAGTCTGAGGCCTACACTAGCAGCAGACCAGGCTTCCTCACTATCGCCAACGCATTAGGCTGGCGGTGCCTGGCATGCTGAGGCTGACGGTGACGTCACGGTGAATGGAGGGAACAACCTGCCCTACCTCAAAGGTGCAGGGCGAAGAGCACGCCTTTCTTTCTTTCTTTCTTTCTTTCTTTCTTTCTTTCTTTCCTTTTCTTTTTTTCTTTTTTAAATGTTTTTAATATATTTTTATTGATTTTAGAAAGGAAGCAAGAAAGAGGGAGAGAAACATCAACAATGAAGAGAGAATCATGGATCAGCCTCTTCCTGCACACCCCGGGGAACCGGGCATGTGCATCAAACCTGGGACCCTTCAGTCCACAGATTGACGCTCTATTCGCTGAGCCACACCGGCTAGGGCTAGCATGCCTACCTTTAAGTCTCTGTGAACAATAAACTTCTGGTGGCAGTACTGCACAGCAGACACTATCTGAAAGGAAGGAAGAAGGGTTAGTCTGGAGCACCTGGGGGAGGCCAGAGCTGGCACAGCTGTGACCTTGGGACCTTATCCTAAGCTGCCACTCAGATAACAAAGTCGGAAGGACCCTTACGGCAGGCAGCCCCTCCCTGTAAGCTAGACCCCCAAAGGCCACGGTCAGACCCGGACCCCAGGGGGGGTCACACCCACCTGGCGGAATTTGGCGCGAGCCTCTTTTTCTTTCATCCTGCCGTGAGCCACGAGGTAATCAAACACCTCCCCTGCGAGAGACGGGCCAGGCTGGGTCAGGGCGTGCTGGGCCGCGGAGCGGGCGCACAGCAGGAGGGGCAGGGCCATACCTACCTCCACTGGCATACTCCATGACCAGGTAGAGAGTTTTTTCCGTCTCAATCACTTCAAACAACTTAACTACAAGAGAAAAGGCCAAGCCGTGAGTCAAAAAAGTAGGAGAAGCCACATATCGAGCCCCAACAGGACTGGGGCATCCTGGGGAGGAAGGCCCCCTCCCAAGGACAAGTTCCTCCAGAGCAGCCACCGCCCAAGCAGAGCTGTTCCGTGGCGGCTTCCCCAGAGGCACCCAGGACTGCAGCCCCGAAGGAGGCCAGGAGAAGGACAGTATGTGGGGAGTGGAGCCCTGAGCGGGCAGCTGGTTCTCACCTATGTTGGGGTGATTCAAAACCTTCATTATCCTCACTTCCCGGAACAGCTGGAAAGTGAAAGTAAAACGGGTTGTGTTTGCTCTGCTTGCCCCCCTCAGCCCTCCAACAGGCACTGTAGGGTTCTCTCTCCAGAAAGAAGAGGCAAGGACGAGAAACAGGACAGCTGTCTGCACCTCCCCTCCAGGCCCTCAGGCTGGGGACAGGCCGGGGGGAGGAAGGGTCGGTGGGAGGGAAGCTGGGCTCTGACGGCTCGGACTCTGAGCTTCTGCACCTGGGCAAGCCGGCCGCCCTTGCAGTCCACCCAAACCTGCCCCGCACAGCAGAGGGCTGTGGCTGGGTACCTCAAGGAGGGACCGTGAACCCTGGGCATGAATCCTCAGAACGAAAGTTCAGGACAAGAGAGACCCCAGCTCGGTCCAATGGATGGGGGGAGCCGTCACCTGATTACAGAAGTCGGGGGGGCCCTGCACCAGTGGGCAGGCCTTTCCTCTGGGCCCCTGGGGTGGGACAGAAGCCACTCCTATATATAGCCGATGCCAGTTTAATCAAATCCACCTCCACACACTCACGCTCTCTGGGGACAGAACCGGGGACTCCTAGCCTTACATTCCACAGAGAGATGCCAGCAGACGGAGGTGGGTCTGTAACCTCCAGGCCTCTCCACTCCACCAAGAGCAACATAGTTTCCTGGGGTGGAGGTGGGGGAGGCGGGGTCCGGTTTGGGAAAGGAAGTGAACATTTCCCTTCAATGATCCCCAGCACTGCCGGGAGCTGTGAGGGGTCGGGCGGGCCCCCTGCTCCAGGACCTGGTCCTGCCCGGCTCCCTGCTCTGGCAGAGCCCGGCTTCTCCTGCCCCTCCCCGGGCCCACCTCAGGGCAGGGCACTGAGCGGGCCCGCGGGCGCTGCCAGGGCTCTTGCCCCGAGGGTGCCCTGGCTGGGGAGGGCGCCCCTGGGAGAGCTCTCTAGAACCCGAGGGGCTAGCTTCTCCAATGTTTGGCCTTCAGGGCCACCGCTGGATAAAATCTAAGCTGAGTGACTTGGCCAGAATCAGACTGGCCTTGGTGACAGAGCGGCTAAAAGGCTTCGGAGATGGCTACGCAGTCTGCGCTGGTGCCTCCGGGTCCCACCCCCAGGCAGGATGAGGCAGGGAGGAAGGGGTTGGAGTAAGAGGCCCATGGATGCTGGCCGTCACGGAGGCGGCAGGCTGGCCTGCTCCACAGACCAAAGGGCCCTCGCACAGGCTCCGGCTCCGCGGGTCCGAGCCCACAAGCCGAGAGGAGCGCGCTCTCCCTGCCTCTGCGCAGCTCCACGCAGGAGCCCGCGTGGTGGCAGCGACGTTTCCTCTGAACCAGAGAGCCTTGCGGGGATCCCACGGCAGCAAGAAGAAAACACCGGTTTTGTCTGTCTGTCAGCATGTCAGGGCACCTCAACCCACACGCTCCCAATCCGAGCACATCTGACAGTAACAGGCCTCGGCTCCTCATTCCTGGCCTCCCAGTGTCACCGCAGTTGGCACACTGTGCTCCTGCCACGGGGTGGGAAGCACCGGGTCAGTCCAGGTCAGAAGCGGAACCCGGTCAACTGGATACAAGGACACAAAGGGAATGGATTGACCTGAAGGGGCAGCTTTGGGAGCCAGATGGAGATTTCTTCCTCCTCCTCCTGCCTGCCGGAGCCCCGGATGGAGGGAGAGGGCAGCTTCCGGTTCTACGCCAATGGTCACTAGCACACTGCCCCCCTCTGCTAACGCAGTCTCCTGCCCCGCCTCCTGCCAGCGCCTCGTCGTTTCTCGAGCAGGGGGGCCATCTGGAGGGTTCCCCACCAGCTAAGTGAGACCATGGTTCCCGCGGTGAGTCAGGAGGGAAGGCGAAGCCCAGCCTCACCGAACCAGACTACGGCGCATGACCCTGCGCTTCTAGCCAAGAGGAGCCAAGTGGGAAGGAGAGCTGAGTGCCTGCCCATCGCTGCCCTCCCTGTCACAGGTGTGAAACTGTGGATTGAAAGCCCGTCTCCAATGCCCCCTCTCCACGCAGCTGGCACAGAGTCCGGGGCAGGCTCCCGACTACTCTGTCCCTGTGCCTCCAGAGGGACCTTCTTCCATCACCCAGGTCTGGAATGCGTTTCTAGTGATGGCTACAACTAGTAGTTTTGCGTAGGGCTGGCCAAAGGCCAAAAGATAACAAGGTGCAGAAGTAGGTCAGATAGTAGGCCAAGCGGCTGGGAGGGGCCAGTGAGGCTGTGACAGAGAGTGCCATGGCCAGGGAGCCCCGTCGGGAGTCAGCCCAGAGGACCAGCCCAGTCATCAGAGGGACAGTGAGAGGACCGGAGTTTCAACCAGGATCCCAGAGAAGATCCCCATGGGGTCAGCAGATCACTGACCCTGCCGAGAGGGTGGGAAAGGGAGGGCTGTCTGCTTACTTTCTGGAGGCTGGAGGAGTTCAGCTGAGTCTTGTCAATGATCTTCACAGCGACCTGAACATGAGACAAAAGCCCAAGATTACCTCTTTGACCAAACTAAACCCGGTAAACCTAGGACTCGAGCCACTTCCTCCTTCCTATTTCCACCTCCTTCTGCCCCATCCCTCCTGGCACTCCTGTGTTCAGATCACACTGTCTGGTAAAGGAGAGGGTGGCTGTGGAAGCAGTCCCACACTCCCGAAGGGGGTGCCAACGGCGGGAGGTGCTGCCACGCCCCCCCCGCTCACCTCCTTCCCCGTCAGGATGTGCCGCGCCAGCTTCACTTTGGCGAAGTTGCCCTTGCCGATGGTCTTGAGGAGCCGATAGTTGCCAATGTGGGGCTGCTCGTCAGCAGAGGTGGCTGAGTTGCGGCCCCGCAGCATGTTGGACTTACTGCTGGGCTTGGAGTCGAGGTGTCCCAAGGTGGGCTGCAGGTAGAGACAGCGCCCCGGTAAGCACCCTGCCTGCTAGTTCCCCGCATTCGCCCTGGTGCCCGTTCCCCCGGCAGAGGGCTGCATCTCAGAGCAGCAGCAGCAGATCACTTCAATGCATTCACTTTCCTATTCTCCCTTTGCAGGGATCAGCTGTCGATCCCGATGGAGTGAAGTTGAAGAAGACCCATGTACTCACTGATACATCCCAGCAACTAGACAGGCAGGGTTATGGCAGGTGCCCAATGAATCCTTATGCAATGAATTAACTCAGTGAGCAAGGTAACCGTTTGCCCTTCTTAGCCCCCCATTGCTCAAAGAGTGTGAGGAGGCAGAAATAACAGCGCTGACCAGGAACAGAAACCTCACTCCAAAAGGGTATGGTCCAGAGGAGGCCATCGAAGACCTGTGTACTCCTCAAAGGGCTAACTACACACAGAATACCGCGACACAGCGATCCCACTCGTAGCTACAGACCCAAGAGAAGAGGAAATGTATGGCCACACAAGAACCTTCTATGCACGTTCATTCAAAACATCCGTATGCATCACAGCCAGAAAGTGGGAATGACCCAGATGTCCATCAACTGGGAAACAGATACTGTGGCAGATCCACACCGCGCAACAATCACTGGCAATTTAAAGAAGTGTTCTGGCACATGCAGCACCATGAATGGACTTTGAAAACATGGTGCTGCGTGAACGAAGCCAGTCACACATATTGTATGATTCCGTTTCTACGAACGGTCCAGAACAGGCAATCCACGGAGACGGGTGGCAGATTCGTGGAGGGCTGAGGGCAGAAGAGGGAGGGGAGGTTGTGGAGAGAGATGCATAGCTCTTAGCTGTACACTTAGCTGTACACTTTAATGGGTGACCTGTATGGTATGGGAATTATATCTCAGTAAAACTGTTAAGAGTCTGGTCCGAGTCTTGTCTAGAGTCCTGATTTATCTCTCAAAGAACACACGGCACCATCACTCCAGCACATGGAACAGAGCTACTGCCAGAGCCCATCCCAGAGCCATCCAGCTGCCGTGGGAAATTCCGGAGAGAGGCTGGAGGGGAGCAGGGTGACAGCGTGAGTCAAAGCTCTTCCTCTCACGGCCCTCTGGCTGGGAGTGAGGCAAGCCCACAGAAACCACAGAGGAGAGGCATGACTTCTACCACCAAGGAACTGTCCAGGGTTCCCGAGCTCCCCCACTACATGCGTTTGAGGCCGAAAAACACCACCACAAAGTATCTACTGCGGATGTTTCCCTTCTCCGTTATGTCAGTGGAGGACTTTCCTTTCTGCACAGTAGCTGCTGGCTGGTTTGGGATGAGCTGCTTGACTCAGATCCCAGAAGCACATGGGTCGAACCTTTTTAAAAAATGTAATTTTGCCGGAACCGGTTTGGCTCAATGGATAGAGCGTCGGCCTGCGGACTGAAAGGTCCCGGGTTCGATTCCGATCAAGGGCATGTACCCTGGTGTGGGCACATCCCCAGTTGGGGGGTGTGCAAGAGGCAGCTGGTCGATGATTCTCTCATCGATGTTTCTAGCTCTCTATCCCTCTCTCTTCCTCTCTGTAAAAAAATCAATAAAATATTTAAAAAAATGTAATTTTATTGATTTCAGAGAGGAAGAAAGAGGGAGAGGGAGATAGAAGCATCAATGATGAGGGAGAATTATGGATCAGCTGCCTCCTGCACACCTTCTACTGGGGATCAAGCCTGCAAGTCGGGCATGTGCCCTTGGTTGGAATCGACCTGGGACCCTTCAGTCCGCAGGCTGATGCTCTGTCCTCTGAGCCAAACCAGCCGGGCGGGTTGAACCTTTGAGGAAAAGATTTCCTGTGGAAAGAGAAGCTGCTGGCTTGTCAGCAGAGTCTCTGCTCACCCCTTGGCCTTTCAGGGCACCTCTCTCTGCTGCAAGTCCAACTCCCCCAAGCTCTGCGGTGTCCCCTCAGCTACAGAGCCTCCTGCTCTCTGGCGTCCAGGCGCCTGCAGCTCACAGAAGCTGGTTGGTCCTCAAACCGCATTTGCTAGACCCGTAGATTTTCAAATACTTTTTTCCCTCCAAAAGGAACTCTAAGGTTTTACCCCTTGGAGAGAAGGACATTTCCAGGCTCCACTGGTACTTGCTCTGTCTGCCAAAGGGCACTCCAAGTCCCATTCAACAGGGTCCTGCTGCCTGGCCGCCATGGCCTACTTCTTCTCGCCCACCTCCCCGCAGGTGCTGCCAGGGCCCTTCCTTCTGTCCCAACTCCCGTGAGTGGAAGACGGTGGAAAGTTCCCTGGCAGCCTCCACTTCACCCCCGGAGCTCTCACCACGCCCCTCTTTTCTGAGGATATGACTCGGCAGTCTCCAAGCCCTCAAAATTAGAACAGGGGTTTAGCATCTCCCTGAGCATTTGGCCCTCTGCCCCTCTGAAGCCAAATATCAGGATATTACTGCCTGTCGTGTGCCCATGCCTCTTGGTGTTTCTAGCCGCCGAGGCTGGTCTGCATGGCACAGCAGGACAGCACTTCCTGCCACGCTGAGCTGCAGGTGGATGGACTTCAAGGAACAACTGTGGCAAGAGGGGCTTAAGAGTATAGGGCCAGAGACCAATTGCCGGGGTTCAAATCCCAAATCTGCCACCTGCTAATTTATTACCATCCACACCATCCCTCAGAGGGAGAAGAGATTATTACAAAGGGGAAGCAAAGCATCCAAAAGGAGAGTGGTATGGGGTGACCCCGCCCCTGTGTAAGAGACAGTCCTGAGATGCCGAAGAGCTCTGTCCCCCGCCACTCGCTTCCACCACCACCTGCTGCATCAGCTCCCGCATCCGGGAAGTGGCACACACTGTTCCCTACTTCCCATGGCAGGCAAGAGGACACACACAATCAGGAAAGGGCAACTATTACTGCCATTATGTTTAGTCCAAATACCACTGTTCTTAAAGCCAGAGCCTCCTTGTCAACAAGACTTGGGCATCTGAGTGGAGTCCTCCTGAGCTGGCTTAGCCCGATGGAGCTGGAAAGAGACACTCTGGTCCTCCCTGCTGGAAAGAGGTCACGGCTGAGCGCTGGCCGCCATCCCCTGACTCCTGCTGCTGGCCGACACCGGCCCCCCTACTCTTCGCAGGAGGGACTGGGCAGGGCAGCTGGGAAGGGCCGGTTCCCAGCTGGTATCCAGGGCAGTAAGAGCAAAGGTTCTGCCTGTCTAGGACGCAGAGACGCAGAGAGCACTGGCGTGTGCTCGCTGATCCCATCCCGTCACCCACTCCCCTTTCAGGACTGAACCACCCAACTCTCAGGACGCAAAGCGTGTAGCTCTTCTCCTAACCTCTTGGCCTCCTCTAAGCTGGCCTATGCCCCCCGAAGAGGGAAGTGGGACAGGGTGAGGAGGGCCCACGGGGACACGTGAGAAATCTCCGGTAGAAAACTGTTTCTTGGACTCAGGAAGGCCAGCGAAGAGGTAAGACAGTCCCTTCCTTGGCTCTGTCCATTCCACCTGGACCACATCTCACCAACAGGGTGGAGGGCTGAGGACCAGCTGCCCTGCGGGCCAAGCAAATAGGACCTGGCTCCAGCCAGCTCTCCCTCTTGCTCACAGTAAGACAAGGAGCACCAGGCATTCCTAACGCTGTGGCTGGCAGCACAGCCCGGGGACCCCCATGGTCTGAGGACGCTGGTTGACAGCAGACCCCATGGCGCTCAGACAGCCTTCAGACAGAACACGGGAGCCACCCTTCCAGGCCGTACTTGGCACCAAACGGCAGACGGCCAGCAGGCGGCTCAGGAGGGCCTAAACCGCGGCAGGACCTCTGCAGAGGGAGAAGGGGACACAGGACGCGGGGCTAAAAGGACAGGAGCCTTCCATCCAGTGGGCCTTCCGCCTGGGAGCCCAGCCCGGCCCAGGCGGCACCAGGCTTGCCCAGAAGACAGCCTCCGCCCCGAGAGGCCGGGCGCTGACTCAGGTAGGCAGGGCCCTTCCCTAACGCTGGAGGCTCCTGCCGCCAGCGCTTCCCCGGAAAAGCTCCGCTGTGGGGCTCTCATTCAATGTCCCGAGGCTTCCGGGAAGGGACCGAACTGGGAGGGTGACAAGCAGGCACTCCCTGGCCAGGGCAGAGTAAGCCCGGGCGCTGCGGAGTGGAGGGAGAACAGTGTCCCTTGGCACTAGCCCGGGGCGACCCCCCCAGATGGCAGTCCCCCTCACTGTAGCCCCCGGGAGCCCGCCCGGCCTCTGCTGTCACCACCCCTTCCTCTCACTCCATCTCAGGGGAGACTGTTGGTCGTTGCTCTTCCTCTCCTGGCCAAAGCCTCCTCCCCCTCCCCCGGAGTTTTACCAGTGCTAGCGGCCGGCTCCATCCAGCAATCCTTCCAAGAGCCCGTCGGGGTGGGAGGGAAAGGAGAGGGAAGGGCAATCCCAGAGCAAAAACCACACCAGAGGAACACGTACCCGGCTGGAGAGAGGGACAAGCACCTCCAGCAGCTTCCATCCAGCAGAGCCACAGCAGAACCTGTCAGGCAGCGAGGGCAAAGTACAGAGGCCGGGAGAGCCAGGCCCAGGGCGGGGGCGCTCCGCCAGCCACCCTTACTCAGCCGAAGCCGGCGACACCTTCCACCACCTCCTCAGTGGAAAGCAGCAAAGCAGCCAGGCCCAGCGGCTCCTGCCTGGGAACCTGGACTATGTCGCAACCGAAACTACCACTAGCAGAGCCCGGGCTTGGCAGGAAGAGCACCGGGGACAAGCCCCAGGCTCCCTGCGGGCCAGGCCCTCGCGGCCAGGAAGCACGGAGCTCAGGACACTGCGCCGGGAGCCAGGTGGGAGGAAAGGGGCAGGAGGGGACCAGGAAGGAGGGAGACTAAGAGAGAAAGAGGCGGGTTCAGACCAACTTCCTTCTCCCTTCCCCTCCCCCGCGCCGGAAGTGGGCTGCCCCACCCTCCCCAAGGTGCTTTGCTGGGTAACAGCTGGGAGAGGGTGAGGAGGAGACTCTCTAGCCCGCTGCCATAAAGTCCTTATCTC